GGAGGGGGAAGTTCAGCCAATACTGTGGCAGCTCTCAGCATGGAAGCGGTTTTGCTACCAGAGCGTGGGGTTAGTCTCTGTCTATGGGCAGTGGTCATCCTCTGAACAGATCGATTCTAACTCTTGTTTAGTGGGATCTTTTGATGTTTGCACTGGCTGCGATTGTGAGCTGTGTAGCCTGAAGAGATGCTTCATGAAGTGACTTGAAATGGTTGGCATAGCTGAGGATCTTGGTAAATGAATTTACCTCGGGGAAAAGACTTTCGTAGCTGTTTGAGGGAAGCTCAGAGCCTTGAATGCTGTGCTTTATTTCACTTTCTCAGCTTGTCAGTGGCTGAATGTTTTGAATTACTATTTCTGGTAATGGTGTGCAACTGAAGAAAAAGCCTACAAATTAAAAGTTCATCATTAACCATGGGTTAGCACTTTATAACTAAAATGTGATACGAGCTATCCAAGATCTTTCTTAGAAGAAGAGGCGATGACCTCTAAAAGGCCAGCAGTGAGAACTAAGTGAAAGAGCTGTGTACTGAGGAGGGGATGGATTCCTATATGACTGTTTCACATGCAAGAATGTCCAAATCTGGGAAACGTGCCAGTAAAATGTAAAATTAAAGCTCTGTTTTGGAGGCTGATACACACAGATAAGAGTCTGTGACTGTTAACTAATAACTACAAGAGTGGCAGTGATAAAGGGGGCATACTTGAGGGCAGGAATTCACAGGTTCGTTCATGTTTAACCCCATTTGGACATTTTATCCGTGTTTGAGAATAACAGCTCAGATGTTCTTGGGTTTTTGTTTCCTTCGTTGTGAGCAACATGCTAAACTGCTGGAGACCTTAACGTGTATCATGCAGAAATGTGACAGGTTCTTACCTATTTTGTAATGAAAAAGGGAGAGATTATGTGGCACTATCTGTGTGCCGAGGGATTTATCTTGGGATCTGCAGCAGCAGCATTGGTACCCTAGGTCTGCCAAGGGGCGTTGTGCCTCATGCCACTGCTGCCTTTGCCTTCAAAGGGACTTGTTATTGTGTCCAAACAACAACTGAATCTTCACAGCATCCCTCTGACCTAGGGGTCATCTTTCCTAATGTGCTGCTAGGCTTTTTGCACTAGGTCATGTACACATGACATCGGAAGAAGAATGAGCATCTTTATAGCCATACAGACCTGCACATTGGAGGCAGATGCCCTTTCTGGAATCCTTTCAACAGTTAATAAGAGCAGCCTACCCTGCTTACAGGTTGCTTCTGTCTGTTATTCTAAACCTTTGGAGGAACTTTGCATTTATGTGTAAAAACAAAGGCAATTATGAGTTGCTCCCCAAAAATGAAGTGGAGGGAAGAAGTGAAAAGTGTAGTATATGAACCAGAATCTGGTAACTGAGGAAGGCTAAAGGCGGAGGAGAAAGGGCAAAAAAGTGAAACCAGTGGGAGGTAAAATTAAGAAATATTTAAAGCAGCTTTAAGTAAATTAGGAGCCAAAGGAATCCTAAAAGCACGCTGATCTGCTGAGTCCTGGAACTGGTAAGTCTATTAACAATGAAGGAGAAATAGTGAATATGTCTTTTCTGTAACTGGAGGAAAAGCTAGATGGTGCTACCTGCTACAGCACCATAATGCTGTCTATTGTAACAGCAGCTCAGAAAACTACTGAACAGTACATCTTTTAATTTGCTGTTCTGCTCAGCTTGAATCCAGGAATTTTAAAAAGGCTGGGTGAGCACCTCTCTCAGGGACATAAGTGCTCATTTTTTTTGTAATGTATTCATAATGTGTTTAGACTGAGAAAATGTTGTGTGCTAGTATTTGAAATCATTGATAGGTAAGCTAATATCAAGTCTAACCTACGCAAACTAGGACATTAGGCTACCTGCAGCCTGATGTTGGCTTCCAGTAAAATAGCTGATAGGAATTTGATCCATCATAATTAAAGAAGGCATTGATTTTAATAACTCATCTCTACAGATTTTTGGAAAGTAGGTCTTACCTAACACAGTGTTGCTACAAAGTTGGTTGATAAAGGTAAAAGTGTTGGTATGTCACGCTTCTGTAATGCACTTAACTTGTACCACAGGTTATGTGAATAAGCAGCTAGAATGAGTCAATGTGTCATACACTGAATACATGAAAACCTGAGTAAATGAAAGGGTCAGTGTGATAATGAAAGGGGAACTGTTGGTGATCAAATGTATTTCTAGTAGTGTCAGCTGGGAATCAGGTTTTCACTTGATGCTATTCAACAAGTTTATCCATGTCCTGGAAGACAACACAAAGTAAATTTTGATGATGTTTATGGAGAGCCCAAAGTCTGGGAGGGTCACAGGTGGTGAAAGGAGACGAGTTACTGGTAGAGATGTGATCACGTGAATGTTGGATGAGAAAATAACGTGTTTTGTGACTGCCAAATGTGAAATCAGACACTAGGAACAGAAAAGGTAGGTGGGCTGGCAGAAGGGAACCTGTGGTGGTGTGGAAGCCTTTTCAGGAGCTAGGACACTTAAAGTGGACATAGTGGTTTGCTGAACACAAAATCCCATCTGGAAATGATGTCCAGAAAGTAAATGCAGTACTTGGACACAAACATGAAAATCCTCAGCAGAAGTAGGGAGGGTGTTATCTCACTACAAGGTACTGATTCAGTCTGCGCAGGAATATTGCTGTCAGTGTTGTTCGAGAATGTTGCTGATAAGTTGGAGAGAGTTCAGAGAAACCCATGAGAATAAAGGATAGGAAAATATGCCATGCAGTAAAATGAGGAGCTCCATTTCTAAAATCAGCACTAGATGTCTTTTTTCCTTCTTCTTGGAGATATTTCTCTAGTTTAACCAGGAATTAACTCAAGGAAGTCCTATGGCCTGCGTTATGCAGGAGGTCAGGCTGCACAGTCGTACTGGTCTCTCTTGCTTCATAATCTAAGAATCTCTACAAAGGAAGAGTGGGAAAGGAAAAGCTATTGTCTGTTCACAGAGGCATATGTCTGGAGCTCTTCCTACTAAAGGCTATGGGGGTTGTGAACACTTAAACTGTAGGTGTCCTGTTCTCCAAGCTTCCTGAGCGTGCCATTTTCTGACCGTGTTCACTGTAAATCACCTGCCCCATTGCCAGCTTCAGCCTGCCCTGCTTAAGTGCCTGGTCTCCACAGCTAACCAACTCTGGGTCAGTGCCCATCTCACTCTGTTTATAAACCTCTTCCTCCATAAGCTGCTGCTTTTTCCTTCCTGAGCTGCTTTACTGTGGACTTTTTGGGGAAGACGCTTCCTTCTCCTCTAGGGAAGGCAGGTAGCCTTTACCTTCAACACCACTCTGATGCATGAGAACAGGACTGGAAAGCTTTCCTCTCACTGTAGAGAGTTGCAGCCTGGGCTGTCAGCCTGCTGAAGTAATCAGCCCCGCTCCCTTGCCCTTAAAATCATCTCTTTCTTCTGATGGGCTATGGTCATTTTGAAATAAAATGTATCTAGTTTTGTGCATCTTGTAAAGGCTTAAAAGTGAGTGTGTTTGCCTGTATCTAGTTGTACTTAATGTTGAGGGTTCCCTTTCAAAGCAATGTATGAATATCAACCAGTGCTTCCTTGATACAGATTTGATAAGATTCTTCCAGGTTACATATTGGCACGTGAGAAGTTGGGCTGTGGAAAAAATTATCATTTGTTCCCCGTGCCAAGAAAATCTATGATGGCTAGAAATAGTGTTCCTTCTTATTGAAACTGTGCCATAAATGCCGACCAGATTTCCTTGGTGCTGAGTTCCATAAAAACATATGTGGAGTAAGAAAATTCTTGTCTTCAGGAGTGTGTGGCCTGAGTACGTGAATTTCAGGATGTCGGAGCCAAGTGGTGATGCAGACTGGCTCTTACGCTGGCTCTCCTGAGAGAAGGGGTCTGATCAGCAACTGAGTCCCCTCAGATGGGTGTCGCAAGTATGCCTTGTCTCTGAGCACAGTGTTAGGCAGCAGATATGGAAAGTGAGGGCACAAAGAGACTTTGTGGGGAGCCACCCTCAGGTCTGTCCAATCTAGTACGCTGCCTGGGAGTAGCCAGTTTATGTGCCTTAGAGGAAATCCCAAGACCAACACAGTGAAGAGATGAGAGGTTCCCTGCTTTACCCTTTGTATCAACCCCTGATGCTCTGGAGCTTAGTGGTCATTCCAAAAATGTTAGTATTAATAAAACTGATTCTGAATTATCATTACTAGCCATACCAATTTTTTCTCCTCAGCAGCATCCTCTGGCAAAGGGGAAGTGGGGTGGAGAGGGAGGGGATTTATTGGCTTTGAGCTTGCTATCTGTAAACAACATTAAATGGTTTCTGGCTCTTGTGAGCTAGGGGAGAAGCATTTTCATTAAAGCAGCCTGCATTCCAGAAGGGTAATGATAGCTCAGCTCCATTCATCTCAAGGGACAGGAAGATGAGAGATCATGACTTGTGCAATTCTGCTGGAATCCTGCAGGGCATTGTGGACGTGTCACTGTTTGCAAAGTGTCCAAAGCACACAGAAAGCTCCATCTTCAAAGGTGTGATATACCTCACTGTTCCCTGAAGGGGACTGGCATAGGCCATATTTATAGATGGGCCTTGGTTTGTGCACCCACCTGTATTCCTCTCTTTCTCAATATTCTGTCCCCAAAGATCTGCTCTGAAATAAGATCTGCTGCATTTCAGTAACACATCCTATCTGTCAGTCTTAAATTACATGCACAACATTTTTTGTGAATGCTGTGGAGCAAAATTTAAATTTCCTGTGCTTGAGGTTGCTCCGTTGTGCCTAATAGTCTGCACCTGACTTATAGCTGAATTGCTGTTTCCTCCCATCCTGATGTAGGAAAGGATTTTCACCTATATGAATACGTAGGTGATCCAGCACCTGCATAGATGTCATGACTGTTCTTAGAGCAGGGGAGGGGAACCTGTTGTCTGGGTCCTTGCTTTGGGAAGAAAGGTTGTGATTTCCTGGCCATTCATTTTTTCTCTTACCTTCCTTCATTCTTTTTCAGAACATGAGTGAAAACTTGAAGGACTGTTTGATCCAGACCCAGACTTCCTTAGGGGAGATGGTGACGATAAAAACAGAGGCTTGCTCTCCGCGTCGGGATCAGGAGTATGGACAACCTTGGTACGTGGCTCGGTGTGTGTCCTGTGTATTCTCCCTTCTAAGTTAGAGATGTATACTTGAAGCTCTGAAAGATATTAAAACCTTCGCTTGTGAGACTCTGCCTTTTGGTTTATGACAGGGATGGTCATCTGCTCATGCGCTAGACACGTGTCTGTGTATACTAGTTTGTATGAGGGCTTGCAGTGCCAGTGTCTGAGGCACTGCAAGCCTTCCGATCAGCAGGTTTTCCTGGTGTAGCAAAATGGTGGGCATTCACTCTGCTAGTCTCCTGTTGAGGGGGTGAGATGTGCCAGGCTTGTATCATGTGTGGTAGTGCTCTAACTGAAGCCCCGGTAACTACTGTAAGCTTTAGGCTTAAAGGGTGTCAAGTACCAGCTTTTGGCAGGTAGTGTAAACCAACAGGTTGGATGGCAAGGTGAATCATATCTCTGCTACAGGCATGGGGACTAAGAGGGTTGTTTAGACTCCATTATCTCATTGCCTCTGTTCCTCTCTCTTTGCGGTGCAAAATATTGGTAGGTTAAAGTCCTCTTTCTGTTGTTTTCTCCCTAGCTCTGGAAGGCCTGATCCACAGTCCATGGATGTGGAACCCAAGAAACTGAGAGGGAAACGAGATTTGATCATGACCAAGAGCTTTCAGCAAGTGGATTTCTGGTGTAAGTGTCTTATTAGCAGAGAAAAAACAATGCCACCTCTTGTATAGAGTTCAGTCTCTTCTAATCTACACCCTGGGTGTTTGGGTTAGAAAAGGGAGAGGAGAAACATGTGGGATGAATTCACATGCTCTCCTAAGAAGATTGGCATATTTGATAGGGAAGCTGTTGCACAAAAGAAGCTTGTCAATCATAGAGCTACATAGTGGTAGGAGATAGGTGGAAAGCGTGCTAGAGACGTTAAAATGCACAGTTTGAGTGACATGAAAAAACCCAGGAGTCTGCAAAGTCGAAAAATTTCAGTTCTGGAACCATGCAGGGAGCATTGCATGGATGACAACTCTCTACCTTTCTCCATATTCTGCAAAATAAAAGTGATATCAGTTATGTTTGCATACCTGAATACTGTAGGCCTTAAAGGAGACCATGAGTTCAGCCACAAGACAAGTACCTGGGGATGTTATATGTCTTTCTGCAGGACGGGAAAAAGGCTGTAGGACAAGGGTGTTTGTTTTCAGGGTGTGTGGTTTTTGCTACTCTCTGGTATGTGGGGAATCAAACCTTTTAGCTAGATAGAGGGGAAGTTACTGCTAACTGTTGATCTGCAAGGAGTCTCTAAACTCTGACTCTGCCAACTGTGAAAGAGAGTTTTCTATGCGTGTGTAGCCATCAATGGCAAATCTGTATACGCCACTAGTGCTCACCTGAGGAGCTGGGAGAAAAGGTTACTTATCAAAGCATCTAGGCATGGATTTTGGTCAGATAGGATGACCTGGGGCAGAGCAGTTGTTGAGAGACATGGGAGGAAAAACAAAGTGAAAAGGCTGTGAAGCGCTTATGAGCGTGGAAGCCAGGCCTGCAGCATCTGGGGAAGAGGGCCATCCTGTTCTGTTGTCGTGACCTAGGCTGAGGTGGGAGGAGAATATGCTTTCTGTTGTGGGAAAGGGGAACTGCTAGGTTCAGGTCTTCACTCTAGATTACAGAAGTCTTTCTCTGGAAGATTGAGAAATGGCATGCTGGCCTCGCTGCTGTGTGTTGTATGAGTTGTTGTGAGCTTAAATGGATGTCGTATCTGCCCTGCATAATTCCTGCCATCCGCTCCCCTCACACCCACAGTTTGCGAGTCCTGCCAGGAGTACTTTGTCGATGAGTGTCCGAACCATGGTCCCCCGGTGTTTGTGTCCGACACCCCAGTGCCTGTTGGGATCCCTGACCGGGCAGCGCTGACCATCCCGCCTGGTATGGAGGTGGTGAAAGAACCCAGTGGGGAGAACGACGTGCGCTGTATGAACGAGGTGATCCCCAAAGGTCACATCTTTGGGCCATACGAGGGGCAGATCTCTAGCCAGGACAAGTCTGCAGGATTCTTCTCTTGGCTGGTAAGTACCTCCCTAACAAAATGATTTCCAACCACACAGCTCAGAGCTGGGACTCATGGGGCAGTGGAGCCAGAACTTAGCCATCTTTTTCCCTTCTCTGAAGCTCCTCTGCTGACCTATGTGGGCAATAGGTGAATGTGGACCTGCCGTAATTATTAGTAGTTTAAAGGTACAGATACGTTAAAAGGAATCGGGAATTGAACCTAAGTTCAATTCACAGATCTAGAAAGCAGAGCTTCCTTCTCCTTTCTCTCTTGCCATGTTCTTCCATCCCCACACCATCTTAAAGGCCCTTCCAGTACCTTTCCCTTCTCTAATCATCCTGTGTCGCATTTTGAAGATAGAGGAAACATCATTTCTAGGCTCTGCAAAGCAGGTGGCCACTGTGGAAGAGCCAGGAAAGAGGAAATCCAGCCTCTCCCATTTCATCAGAAGCCAATTTGCATGCAATCTCCAGCCCCAAAAATGAGTTTTTACCCCAGTCCTATAGGCCTTTGTCAGCATGTGAGACAGAGCTATCACTAGGTTGATACATACTAAATACTCTGAGAAATCAGATGCAGGACTTGAATTCTAGCTGGAAAAAAATGGAGAGTTGCTGGTATTAAATTCTGCTCACAGTTGTTCAGCCTATAAAATAAATGTGTGCCTCAACCCTGCCTTGAAAGGAAGGTTAGTCCTTTATATCTCGGGACTGTTAACAATTTTGCCAGCTACATTCATAGTTCTGCGTTGTGGAGATTTGTACATGGGAAAATGCCTTTTGCTTAGTTCAGAGTACCCTCCAAACAGGCTGGTGATCAGGGTGGCAATCTAGAGTACCTATGAGGATTTGAGTCTGTGGCATAGAGTTTCATGTCCTGACTTGAGGCTGGAACTGAAGCAGTGGTTTGAAAGTCAAAGTCTTACTTCTGTCTGCACCAGCTCACTCACTTGCTGCATCTATTCTGTTCTGCAGATCGTTGATAAGAACAACCGCTACAAATCCATAGATGGGACAGATGAAACCAAAGCAAACTGGATGAGGTGAGTCCAGTTCTGCCTTCCCTTTTGGGGCTTTATGTTCCTGAGAGAGGCCATCAAGCACTCCTCATTGTTTTGCATGACAGAAAAACAAACCAAAATGCCACAACCCCTTCCTTAAAGGATTTGCTTGTGCTTTTTTGATACCTGCTGTGATGAGAATCCTTTGGAGTCAGGCTGAATGGTAGGAGCTAAAACAAGGAAGTGTGTACAGAGGATGACTGTTCTCTGGGATGAGGACAAATAATAAAGACAGACCTATTTATCCACTCTTAAAAACACTGCTAGGTCTCACTGCCATTTTTTTTTTTCTTTTTTTACTTTATTTTCAAATATTTGCAAAAAGCTTTGTGTAATCCCCTAGGTAACATCTGAGTCTCTTCTGGGTTTTTATTCTTTCCCATTTGACAGACGTTGAGAGAAGTGGTTTCTGGGTTTTTATTCTTTCCCATTTGACAGACATTGAGAGAAGTGGTTTCTGTCCTTCTGGGCTTTACTAGAGGCAGTTGTGCATGGCGCACTCTCATTTGTGGTCTTAGCTTTACTTTGTTATTAGAAACATGGAGTGAGTTGCTGCAGCTCTGAACACAGAAATTATTAGTGTGCTTGTGCTCCCTCTACCGGCTTAGGGACTCAACAATAGCAGAATCCAAAAACCAGCTACTACTGAACCAGGAGCGTGGCTGGCTCTATTTTGTTAATTGCAGTAGTAAGAGAAAATGTTTAACAGTGATGCAGTGCTGCAAATACCTGCATATATCTGCAAAATATAGGTCACTTGTAGCCTCTTGAAGCAGAGGCAAAACACTGAAGTGCCTTGTGCATATGGTGAGTCACTGGAGTAGCTGGAATGGGATATGGCAGTGTACTGCTGCCTATCCCATGTTCTGACTAGTCCTGGCTTCAGGAGTGAATTTTGGAAATAATATCAAGAAGGCATTTCATACAAGAGTAAAGCAGGATGCGAGTTAACTGTTTTATTGGTCCGAATGGCTAGGATTTTCAGTTGCCCTTCACTAAGGGAAAGAAAGCACAAAGTACAGGTAGATGCAATATAAAAATAGCCAGACAACACTGACTGCACCACTTCTTGCTCGATTTGACTCCTAACATGGACAGCAGCTGTTCTGACACTTATATTCATGGAGTTCAGCAGAGGACTTAATTTTTTTGTAAGAATTCCAGCCATTACAATTGTTTGCTACCTGATGAGAGAAGCCTCTAGTCCTGTGGCAAGGCTGGAGTTGTCACTCCAAAAAGAAGCAATGGTGCAGTGGACAAATAGGTAGGAGGACATAGATCTTGAAGCAAAGAATGAGAAGGTCAAAAATCGGAGTGAAATTTTGCTGCTCAGATTATATCATCTCCTAACGTGATCTGTATGACAATATAATTGAGGGAAAACATATTCTTGGAAAGTGAAAATTCTGTAATGAACTCTTCCTACTACTACTACCAACACTAGCTTCGTGTCTGGATTTATATGGGCACTACTCTTGGTTCTACCACCACAAGAACAGAATGTTCTTTTTTAAGCCTCCACTTAAACCTGTATTTGCCATGTTTATGTCTTGGGATGAATGTGATCTGAACCATTCTGTACAGCCTTGACAGGCAAGCAGATTACAGCTTTGTGAAAAGGGTAGGGACAGTTAAGGGGATGCGTGCAACTCTTCTGGGGAAGGGTGTATCAGAGGACCTTGACAGGCTATACCAGTCTTCCTGATCTTTCTGTTTTTACTCTTGCTAATGCCTCAAATACCAGCCGTATATGGAGTCTGACTGACAGTTCAATTGGAGACGGTGGTTCTCAAAAAGCATTGTTTTTGTTTGTTAGCAGCTTTCAAACAGAGATACTCACAGTATCCTACACTAAGACGTTACCTGTCATGGAGATTACCCACAGAAACGTACTTCCAGGAACGCTGTAGACAGCGCTCTTTTTGTTTTTCAGATGGTGCTCTTTGCCATCACTCACAGATGGAGTGCTTTGCAAAGCAGATCTACTCACCTTCTGGGTAGGTGGGTATGGCATGGGGAGGGCAGCTTGGGCTGACTCCTCTCTCTTCTTGCAGATCTGGCTATTGTTTTTGTTGTTTGACTACCACATCTGAGTCCATTTTCATGTTCCCAGTGAGGACAATTTGTACACTGCAGCATTTGCTGTTTGACTTAAAAGTCCCTGTTTACCCAGGGCAGTGGATTACAGGGATGAATGAGTACAAAGCATAGCAGATGGCAGAGCAACAGGCAGATGAGCTGTCCAACATCCTCTTTGCCTTTCCCTCTTCAGTCAGTCAAAACAAACTCCTGATGCTCAGGGGCGTCTTCTCAAGTTGGCTACTAGAACAAGAATAATGCACTCTTAGTCTCTGTCTAGCGTAAAGCACTGTTGTTTCTAATACTATATAAAACTCCATGAGTTTGGCTACAGAGATGTGTGTCAACCTTTTCCTCTGTTTCTATGTTTACGAGGGGGATGGGGGAGGCTCAGTGTGAATTAGTACCACAAAGCATAGCAAACCTCAAACAAAATCAGTGCTTTCTCAAACACAAACCATAAACTGCCACTGATCAGAGTTCTTCTGAAGGCTTGCACAAAACCAGCCGTTGTTCCTAGTTACTTGTGAGGAAGTCTTTTATTCAGTTGTTGGAGACCTTACTTGGAAAAACAAAAACAACAAAAAAAATCTGACCAAAAAATGGAAGTAATTCAGAAGGTACAGGGGATATCCCTCTATGTGTGTATTGCTCTCCTCAGACTGAGGTGCAGGATAGGAAGCACCTGCAAACCAGTGCCTAAATGAGTTGTCAGAGCGTAGTGCTTCATGTGTGGTTTTTCCATATTAATTTTGGCATGTATAGACTCTATCCCTTCTTACAAGTGAATCTTGAATTCACTTGTAATTTTGAATTGTTGAATTTTTGGCATGGTTCAAATTCATGCTTTCCCTCAGCCCCTGTGAAGAGGTTAGTGCAAGACTTCTTTACCTCTTTTCCCTTTGCCTTCTTCTCTGCCCCCCTTCCACTCTGAAAACAGTGACAGACATCATGGGGAGCAAGAAAGTTTTGTATGTCTTCCTTTATCTCCTGATAATGGAGATGTCTACGATTTGCTTTGCATAAAATAATGCAGGTTAGAAGGGACCTCTGGATGTCATCCACTCCAATGGCCTGCTCAAAGCAGGACCAGCTTATATCAGTAATCTTCACAGAGCTGCTGTTTTGACTTATTGGAACCTTTTTTAAAAAAAAAAAAAAAAAAGAGGGGGGGGACTGGGGCTGGCCCCCACTTTTTTAAAAAAAAAAAAGAAGGGAGGTGACTGTGGCTGCCTACCATGTGTGCAGGGGGACTGAAAGCCATAAACCTATGCACAAGTCATTCTGTTAAGCTGCATGTACTTGTCTCTCTTCTCTTTTAGCAAGTTAAACAAATATTCTTATGGGTTATAGACTGAAAGTTATTCAGAGCAAATGGATCCTGAAGTACTACAGAGCTGTAATACTTGTAAAATTTTTTCCCAAGGCTCTGAAGTGATTGTATGCTTGCTTCTTAGGCAGAGAGAAGTGGAGTTGGTTGATACCTGTGTGGGGTGAACGTTAAATGCTCACTGTTCTTGTAGTCTGCAAATTCACTTTAAGTTGCAAAGAAATAGCTCTGCCGTCTTGCACTTTCAAATTCACCTAGGCTGAGGTGGGAATTTGTAGCCCCACAGCTGGGGCTCCTATGGAGCTTAAAACCCACACAGCATCCCGAAAGAGGTACTTCCAAAACTGACTGCTCCCAGTGATATCCTGCATGCTAGGGAAAATGCATGAAGGGAAAAAAAATATCTCCAACAAAACCAGTAACACTGTCTGCATTTATAGAAGGAGATGGTTAATGTGCCTGCTGGGAACCTAATACTAATTGAATTCATGATTAAAACTGGCCAGAATTTATTACTCTTTGTGTGGTGAGTTTGCTGTTGCAATACTTGGATTATCTTGAATTGTTTTGACCCGTGTCCTGTGGGAGCTGATGAGGAGACCAGCCATGTCTGCCACAAGTTGTGCTAAATGCACCCATCTGGGGTGAGCAAAAAGGGAATATGTCTTCCCCAGTGGTGTTGCTTTGCTGGTGGCAGCAGCCATGGATCCAGCAGAGTGGAGAAGACACAGGTTTCCTAACCCCATCAGAGGCTGTGAGCAACTCTGGAGAAATTTCTGTTCTGCAAGCACAACTCTGCTGATGGACAGATTGTAAAATGCCATTACTCCTTTTCACGAGAGCAATTTGTCAGTGTGGAGGTTTGTTTCCAGCGCGTGGAGGCATTGATGATATTGCACAATTGTGGCTACTCGCAAAGCACGTACATGAAGGCCTGTTTTGCTGAATGCAATAAAAATCAAACCATAAACATTCCCTCGTTCAGTATTCCATGTAACCTTTTTTTTTCTCCTGCCATTGTTTAGCTGGGAGCACTCCTTTTTTCTTTTAAGTGTTTTTTCTTGAGGTTAATGTACCAAGCACTTTGCTGGCTGTCCATGGTTTCATTACTGTCTTCCTCAAATGCTCCTTCTACCCTTCCATAAAAGCAGCTTCACCAAAACAATATCTCACAGATACGTTTACATTTGTCCCAGTGAAATGCTTCTGTGCGGTTAGCTCATCTCCCAGCTCTCACTGTATGTGGCTTGGATTTGAGCAGCATTTCCAACTGGTTTTTCAGTGGGAATTTGGCAGCTTCTGACGCTTACACTGATGGAGGGCAGTCTCATAACCAGTCGTGTCGGTGAGATTCATTAATGAGCAGTGTAACGGCACCAAAGAGAAACTAGGATGACATCTGACAAGAGACCCTTTACCTTTCTATCTGACAAGAGACCCTTTACCTTTCTGTAGGTTTTTCTCCAACTAGCATCCTCCCTCTCAGTGCAGCCCAAACACCCTCCTCTTGTGCTAGGCTAGAGCAGTGCTAAAAGGCAGCCACCTCTGAGGAGGTGCCAGCCAGATGCCAGAG